TTTAAGTAATGGAAAAGAAAAACGATTCCTAGTTCACAACTCAAAAATTATGTCCTTACTTTCCACATTTCAACCTATCGAATGCAGTTCTTGGCCTTTTTAATCTTCGTGCATAATTCGATAAAATTGCAATATCATTTCATCAAATATAGATTTTCCAGATATAAGAGGGCGAAAAAAGTTAGTGTAAATACTTTTTGTCTCGCCTCTACGTAATGGAGGCGTGCTGTTCCCGGTGGTGTTGGCGGCGTCAACATTTTTTTTTTCTAATTTGTGATAAGGTAATGTTTTTAAAATGGGACCACTAACGATAAGTCAGTGGATATTTGGTATGCATTTGTATAAGCATTGGCATATTTCTATTTAGATAATAAGGCCTCGCCCCCTGAACGATACATATATCTGTGTCAACACTTTATCGTTCTAGATTGACACTAGCCAGACATTTTTTTCACTGGAAGTTGAAAGGTAGCAAACACTGTGCAAAATTGATTTGTAAACACAAAATTGATAAATGCGCAGGGGATATTGAACATCGTGTCTATTTCTTTTTAAGCGTATAATTGGTTCATTTTGTATGTAAATCATCTATACGAAATTTCAGTGATATTTTGCCTGCCCAATCGAACCTATCATGAATAATTGTCGATGTTTCTACTTTGTTTTAACGTATTGTGCCATATTATCGTATTTTTTCATTAAATTATCGCATTTCTATTAGAAAAAAATCTCAGTGGTAAAGTTTTTCATAATAAAAGTATATCGCTATTCTATTAGAAAAACGTCGCATTCACATAAGAAAAATAGCATAAGTATCCAATTACAAGTGATTGTGGCGTAGAACTTAATCGATTAAGCTCAATGGCCATTCCATTTTTTGGTACATCATTGTAAAAGTATTTGGACACCTCAAAATTATAGATCGTGGAAATAAGTTTTATTTAATGCAAATGCATATTCACTCGTATAAATACAACATACTTGGGATTAAGTATTCAAAATACATGGTAAGTTGTAAATATACGTTTATGTTTTAAAAAGAATAGGCAGGTACTTACCGATGAATTTTGTTTTATTCCAACAAATGTCAACTTTCGTCTTAGAATTTACCCCACAATGCATCTCATTCACAAAAGAAAATATCGCTAATCCACATAAGAAACGGATTTCTCGATTCGCACTTTCCATAGACTGAGAATAGAAAACATCACACCCGAGGTATATGTTATAGGACAAGAGTTCCGGAAATCGTCGAATTATGTTACGAAAGAGGTTGTTAGATATCCTCTTTACGATAACAGATGCAAAACATTAAACTTCCAGGTTAGAAGACAGTGGTTGATATGAAGTGTTTTTTCGTGCCCATGATTTGATAAAGAATGTAAATTAAATATGTAAAATTCAAATGTTGAATGTTACTGTTTAGTATGTATTCTTTGCCTGAAAATTGTTATACTCCAAATTGTTTTTGTTCAATAAAAAATATTTAACTATTACCAAACATTTTGTAGTGGGAAAATATTTTATAGACTTCGGTATAAACTCCTGGCCATTACTTAAAGATGAAGATATTTCAAGTTAAAAAAGATTTATGACAGTGGCAAAATATAAGAATACCTGATAACGTCACGCCTTGCAGATTAACCTCTCGATGCAATTTGAAGCATACTAGGTATATGGATTTTACTCGTTGTTGAAGGCCGTACTATGGCATACAGGTCCTTTGTTTAAAGTTAAACGTTGCGTCATTGGCAGTCGTACACCATTTCAATATTTCAATTTTATTTTTTATGCACAACACCATATTTATATTTCTGTCCTTTCAATATTTTATTTGAAAAAGTAACAAACCACTCTGTATTCAAGGCCGTAACTAGACATCAAATAATAGTGAGGCAAGGGGTCTGGGAACCACACTGGTTCACAGCGGGTGCAGGGAAGAGTCCTGCTAGGAGGACTAGGGGGCAAATTTCCCACCTATGAAAAATAAACAACTATGTATATGGAGACAGCACACTTTGAACATGAATCATACAATTAGCATGACAAATTAGAAAAATGCCCACATTTCATTCAATGTGTAACTGTCTGAACTTTCTGTGTCCGGCAATATCAAGCATATTTTGAGAAAAAAGTCTTTCATCACGAACTGAAGATCGGTACATTGAAGAAAACATATTTCCATGCAAAATGCGTACAAATTAGATTCTAGTACTATATTTAAATTAGTTTGAATGTGTTTTTAACTCATTATACTAAGTTATAGAAGCTGAAATATTGAATTCATGGCTATGTGTAACACAAACTTTTATGGCATAGACTGACCAGTCTTACTTTACATAAGGTCTATAATAATGTACACGAAACGCGCGTATGGCCTACAAAATGTTAATCCTGTTATTTATGATGGTTATTCACATATATTCACATCTAATAACTTACATTAACCGACTGGACCTAACATAGACAGAATAGCATCTTTTTCTTTAAATAAATTTACTGGTCCTCTTTAAGATACTTACATTTGTTTCGAAACTAAATTACGTCACATATTTAAGGTGGAACCTAACACTACAGGGAGATAACTCTGTAAAAATCAGCTAAACGTTTTAATTACGTTGTATTGTTAAGGAAATATTAAGCTTCTCAATGATCAAAATTAGTGTTTGTCAAACTGCTATTTAACCAATGAAATTTTTCTAATAAAGTGGTTGGTTCAAATTTTTTGAAATTTTTATATTTTTGTCAAAATTTTATGAAAATTAAACGAGCCAAATTAATATTAGTCAAGGTGTTGGGTACCACCTTAAGTAGACAAAAACTTTGAAAACTATGTATAATGATAGAGAGTTGACAACCACTAAACTACAGGCTCCTGACTTGGTACAGGTACTTATAGAATGTGCCGAAATTAGATACTTGACTTTCTTTTCAGGCATCATAAGTTTGTTCTATTGTTATCGATTTCTGCGTTAGCTTCTTTTAAGTAAATATAAGTTTCTAAAACTACAGGTAACGACCATCTGGATGTATTTTCCAAACAAAAAACGTATCAGCTGGGAGTAAATCTCGAAGATGTCCATGGAATCACAGGTTATGCAATTCACAACACGTTTCGTGTGTTACCAGAAGAGGGTAGATACCAACTCACCATCGGAGACTACGCTGGCACAGCAGGTATGTTTTTCTTTATTTGCACAGGTTTTAACAAGAGCTATGTTTAAATCGGAGTTATTTTATACTGTATTTTAAAGTTGTTGTACACATTTCATTGACCAAAATAGACTTTAGCCATTTTTGTATTTTAAGCCGTTGTACACATTTCTTTGTGCCGAAATAGACTTTTACTATATTTATCTTAAAATTTTTGATATAACATTTTTTTTTGTTATTTGGATTAAGACATTAATTAAAATAGTATGTACTTTTTTTATCACATTATGCAATTAAATTGTCTATTTCCCTTAGCTTTCGTAAAGTTTTCCACCATTTCTTTTTATAAGTTTTTCCTCGTCTTTTGTAAAATGAGTTTCGAATTTGCAAATTTTCAGTATTAATTGAAACTGTGAGTGAGCAAACAAAAGATAACCCCAACCAACAATCCTATATATTTAATTACCCCCTATGAACATGTTATCCCGGGATTATATTCCTTTGTGCACATCCTCCTGTAAGATTCTGCAACTGTGTAAATGTTTCTTTATTATAAGTTACGTCTTATAGCTCTTCACGTGTAATTATACATTCTTGGTTTTCAGTTTTTGGGTAAGAGCGTTCTTGATAAAGGTTAATACAACAAAGCGTCGTGAAGAAGTTGTACTAAAACAACACATGGACAGACGGACAGACATATAAACAGGACTGTCAATGTGATACCTTTTGACCCCATTACTTTGTCTACCTAGGATATAATAAAATGCATGCAACTCTTACAAAATGTGATCAGTTTTTATGCTTAGATTTACTAGACTGGGTAAAAGAAATCGGTCAAAGTAAGAATTAAGATTTAAGTGATAACCAGCAAAGCCATACTAAAAAAGTCAACAAAAGGTTCATGAATCGTGCCAACTAAAACTGTACTCTTAAAAAGATATGTCAGTTAAATCAGGTACACCTTGAATTCAGTTGTATTGTTTCCTTGTAGAATTTTTTTTATAATCAAGGATAGAAAATATATAGAAATGCCATTCTGTCATGACAGCTACTAAGATTATCATTTGACCCAATTTTGTCAATATAACGGAATTATAAACAATTGTCAGACAAGTGAGAGGTCTATCAAGCTATAAACCAGGTTTAACCCACTATCTTTCTTCTGAAAATGCATGTACCAAGTCAGGAATATGGTAGCTGTTTTTCACCTCTTCCGTTGATTGATAGCGTTTAATTTTGTTGGTTTTTCAATGTTTTTATGGACTTCCCTTTTTTGAATTTGCCTTGGAGTTCATTATTTTAGTTCCACTTTTTCTCCGTTTTATATGTTTTCAAACTTATTGAAATTATTATAAGAATGGTTGTCAAGATGTATTAACAAACGTCCAATAAAACACTAGAAAAATTCTGTTTAGATATTTAAAAATGTCATGTGTGCATGTTTCTGAAATAGGAAAAAACAAAGGATATGGGTGCGAGCATCTTTTAATATGGTCTTGTTTATTATTGTTGTGCTTGAACTTGTGTTTTTATTAATTCTTGTTGTTATTCGTCTGATTGGCATTGAAGGTAAAGGTTGGGACGTTAAAAAAACTACTTCAACCCCGCAACATATTTACGTGCCTGTCGTATGTCAGTAACTTTCATAAGTATACTTTTTCCTTTTTGTGTGTGTTTTATTATTTTTTTTTTTAATGCGTACTACTTGATTTCTCGGTCGAATTGTTTGTAAATCGACATCAATATACAGTTCTTTCGAATTATTGCTCTATCTATTCATTATTTCATTTTCTAATTGATTTCATGAACGTGCCTACTGAAAAAGATATTTGTCGACAAGAGATGGATAAGCTTTTGTATATATTTAATGAATAAAATGCAAATATAAAATGTCTTTTTTGACAAATAAGTCAATGTAACATTATCACAAATAACCTTCTTGCACTAGAGTTGTCACAACTACAAATTTGATCTTGTTTATTTATCGAAAACAATTACCGTATAGCGAGTTATTTTCGCAGGTGTAAAATTTCGCGATTACGGGGCAACAAAATATACGAAAAATTTTGGCGGTTTTTGTCTTGGTGGATTCATAAACCCCTAATAAATATTTAGCGGATACTGAACTTGATGAGGTTAAAAAGTTATAAAAATTGACAAACAAGTGTCTATATTGTTATGGTTAAATGATTTTGTTTACCTGAATGACGTCTTATTTATTGAATATATTCTGATACATCAAATCAATAGAATACCGGTAACTTGAATAGTTGTCACAGGTATACAAACTTTTTGAAAATTTTACAGTTGATTGGTTACGATATTGACCGGACATTTGATGTACTTACTAAAAGAGAGGAGAAAGATACCAAGGGGACATTCAAACTCATAATTTGGAACTATACTGACAACGCCATGGCTAAAAATGAAAAATACCAACAGACAAACAATAGTACACAAAACACAACATAGAAAACTAAAGACTGATCAACACGACCCCAACCAAAAACTGGGGTGATATCATGTGCTAAGAAATGGTAAGCAGATCCTGCTCCACATGTGGTAACCGTCGTTTTGCTCATGTTAGTACAAACCCGGAATTAAGTCTAATTCGGTAGGTCACATTCGGGAAAAGGGGACGGGATTGTAGTTTTTTATGATCATATCCATTATCATCTGTGAAACGGATATTCCGTAATGATCAACCAACTCGTGATGGCGAAGTAATTAGGGTATAAAATTATCAAGAGTAACTTACAACTCTTATACAATTTGGCACTAATTAATAAAGGTAATAACCTGATAAAGTACCTTACAGTCTTATTTTGTTTGACACTAATTAATAAGGGTATACACACCTAGCAGTCATTTTATGAAATGCATGTATGTACAATGCGCTTTGGCATTTATATTGTTAAAACTAACATATACCGTTATTGACTTGCCGACTTCAAAAGAAACACATCGTTTACAAAACGTTTTAGCTATTAGAAAGAACATATGCATAAATTTTTGCGAAATTTATTTTCGCGACTTTCATTTATCCGCCAATATAAGCGAAGATAAACCGCTATACGGTAACATAATTTTAAAAAAGATGTCATTTCAGGAGCCAAATAATGGCTTTTATCATATCTTATCACTACTCCTAATGCTATTTCAATGATCAAAGTATTTATTCTTACAGTAAAATCTAAATCATACTCATATATGATCTGATCATTACATCAAATTAAACAACCAAACACCATACGGTTACCTTAAATAATTACCAAATATAAAAATAAGGCCACCAAACTATTAGACTGGTATTGTTGATGAGATATTCCTTTTACGATGGAAAAAAGTATCAAATCAATAGCTTATGAATTTTGATATTTAGTATTGAGAGCATTATAAGCATATATAAAATATCACATGCGAAATACATGTGTACCTGGTCAACATTGCAAAGCATTAGTAAGAAAACACGTAAATAAAATATATTTTAAAATATTTTAAAAAAAATACATTAACCAATAACTATAATCCAGGTCATATCATGCATTTGCTGCTCCATGAAATTTTATATAAATGTAATATATAATATTTTTAATACTTATCTCTACAAAGATAAACGAATCATTATGATTGGAGTGTATGTTTTAAAGAATCAGTATAACAGCATTTTGGTCACACCAAATTTCCTCAATATGAGAGTTAATTGCTGACATTTCCGGCATTTATAAACATTGATAAGAAGTAGATAATAATATAGTTACTAACATGAGTAACATGACGGGATCTGCTTACCCTTCCGGAGCACCTGAGGTCACCCCTAGTTTTTGGTGAGGTTCGTGTTGCTCAGTCTTTAGTTTTCTATTATGTGTTGAGTGTTGTGTACTGTTGTATATCTGTTGGTTTTTTTTTATATTTTTAACTATGACGTTGTTTGTTTATTTTTTAGGAGTTTTGAATGTCCCTTTAGTATCTATCGCCTCTTTTTTTTTTAATGTGTTAAACATAACAACTTGGAAAAAAAACGTATGAAGAAAGGCATTTAAATGGTTTATAGTTAAGAAACAAATGAATTTTAGCATGTAAAATGAAATATATTTGAGTTTTCAATTTATAAAATTCTCATTCGCATCCTTAACCTCTCGGCCACTGCCTATTTACTTCGTATTAGCATTAATGTATACTCAAATTCTGAATAATTTATGGAAAGAGTTTTAACTTTTTCGTTTGTGTTTTAATATTTTTTTCAACATACAATTTAAAAATAATAATTTTTCAATTAGTTCGATTTCAAGATTTGATGAATCTGATTTTTAAATCGGAGCATTTATTATCCAAATTATCAGAACATAATGAAAGAGCGATGTCAGTGCAATGAAAAATTCAAAATAATTTTGACTTGTTGATAATGACCATTCTCTTCCATCTTTATGTTGATATTGATAAAAGAAGTATAATTTTCCATATGTAGTTGTCTTTTCTTTTGATAAGCTGCGTTGTGCAACACATTTTACTCGTTAGTTTGGGTAATTACTTCTTCTTAAGTTCAGCGACAATCCAGCGTTTAAAGGTCAAATGGCAGTTGTACAGGATAGATTGTATGTAAAATTGAAATGTATCCTCAGTAAAAAATTTCGTTTCTTCCCTGCTTTGAATAGTACCGTCGTTTAAATATATATAATATAGATATTGTCTAAAATATATGTAGTTTAAATTTTCACCTACTGTGCATTCTGAAATATAAAACAAGACGAATTTTCGAGCATCAAAACATGATAACATTATCACCCAATCACAGGAAAAACCGTTGAAAAACCATGAAAACGTTGTATATAAGGATCGAATACAATTACAATTTGACGTAGAAACCTCCAGATCAACCAACAAAAATTATAGAGGTTTTATTTTTTTTTTTTCAGTTTGATTAAAACGTTTATGCAACGGTCGTTGTTACGAATATTTAAGATCGTAATAGAAAAAAAAGTACAGTTCACAAAGAAAATATATAAGTCAAAATGTGTACAGTAACAACCATAAATAAGTACAAAAATGAATATTTGATAACGTATACAAAACCAGTTAATATTTCAGATAATTAATGTGCTTCCTCTATATAAATTGATCGATGTCAAATGGCAAAGTTTATATCAATATATATTCCAAGAGATATTGAAGTAGATACTATCAAAGTGAATAAAATATAATATAAAGCAAGTTTAAATGTAAGCGTGAAAATTGTAAACTATCTGATCAAAATCCAATTGCAGCAATGTCGTCAGGAACATCAGTTGGACTTCGAGTGTCTGCAAGCAAGTTGCTGTAAAATTTGGCTCTGTGATTTAGCTGCTCACATGTAAAAACAAATTGCCAAGTAACCACAGATTCTCCTGGGTTAACTGAAACGTAAAGATATTGTTTAATTGTCAGACTAACTACCAAACTAGGAAATGAGTAATTATATGAAAAAGTTCCATGAACAAACATGTGATTACATTATGAAAAATTCCGAAAATATGTGAGACACAGATTTTGGTAAAATTTTGGTTGAACAAACGATAAAAATAATATAATATTAACTTTTATTTTTTTTTTGGAAATATTACTGATTGAATTCTTTCAACATAGGTGAACATTTTTATAGAAAGCACGAATCATCGTCGTTAAATTTTCTTAAATTGTCTCTTGATAAGGTGGCATAATAAAAAGGTCATCGAATTTGTTTTTACGGTATGCATCATTCAAAGTGGTACCAACTAGGTAATACATTGATTACTACACATAAAACTCGTAAATCGAAAATAAACTGTTTACTATATTTTTTTTTTTTTTGGTTTATTGTTTTTTACATAAATCTTCTTTACATTTGTTATTTCAGATCCTTGTATAGCTTGCTATGTGGTATGGGTTTTGCTCATTGTTATGGCAGTGCGGTGAACTATAATTACTATCTTCTACGTCATTTGCAATCATACCACATTTTCTTATCCTTATATTGACAAAAGCAAGACAAAAAACAAAAAAGACTAATGGCAAACAACAATCTACAAACACAACATAGGAAACTAAAGACTGAGAAACAAAAAAAAAACACAAAAACATGGGGTGAGGTTATGTGCTCATGATCCGTCACGTATTTGCTATGCTATTTTTTTGTTATGCAAAAGCCATGTGAAATCAATAAATGAGAAAACAACCTGTTATCTCTCGTTTAACTGTTGTCTCCTCCGACCATGTTGAAGCAGATGATCTTTCAAACATAGATGATAAGGATGCTGACGCGGATGCAGACCCAATACCAGCTGATACACTTGCTGTTGTTTCCCACTTAAACGAAAACGAATAAGTTGTACTCTCAGTTTTTGACTTCCCAACCTTGTATTGGAAGGTTTGTTTGTGTACCGCTGCCGGATTCATTACCATATTGATAATTTTCCACTTTCCACGTAAGGTTGGTGCACCATAAACTAGAGCTTCTTCGCTGGTATTGTTTGGAGATACACATTCGAACTTCATTTGATAGTGTTGATCTTGATGAAGGCAAACCTGCGTGTTATTTTCAGGCTTGTGGCTTCCACCTTTCGGATGTACAAACTTTCCTCCTATGTGCATTATGGCATCATTTGCACTATCGATACAGAAAAGGGCGCCTCCATGACGGTCCTCGTGTAGGACAAGATCCGCATTGTTTCTTGGGTTAAAATCGCCGCCATACGGATGTATTACTTTACCACTTGCTACGTGTCGTATGTATCCCCAATGATCATCTTCAACATCAAAGGTGAAATGGGTTTGGTCATCTGTTCCTTCGCATAAAACTAATTTCTGGTCGTTTCCTGGATTCTTTCTGCCGTTTGAATGATGTAAATATTTACCACCAGACTTGTGCTTTATGACAAACGTTGCCATTATCTAAACGCTATAACCTGCAGTAAATAATAAATGACTTTCATTGAAGAATCTTATGATACTTTTGAATTTAGATTTAATGCGACTGGAAAAAGTATAACAGAAATTTATAACGGAATAAAAGAATAATCACTGAGACAACACCACTATCAAAACAAACTTATTTCTGAAGGTAAACATACGGGTAATTGACTTTAGACAGATACGTGACGATTTTGTATCTTAAACCTCCTGGTAAAAATTACATAAAATACTATACAAGACATATACAAAAACACTTAATCTAAGAAAACGGATCGACAGATGTCGTAGTATGAACAAAACAGTAGTTTACAAATTACTTAATAAAACATAACAAAAATATAACAGGAATAACAAAATGATACTAAACAGTACATAGACTACGTCAACCACGGAGACTTGAGTCCTCCGAAAAAAAGCCAGACATTCAAACAGAATAAAATTACAGCAAAAGAATACGGTTAATATAGACTGAATTTGTATAAGCGTAAGATGTGGTGGGATTAAAATATTGTTACGTGCGTACAAACTTCCCCTTTAACTCTCTCGGTTGTATGTCTCAATACACAATAAACTAAACCTACACATTGTAAGGTGCCAACATAATAACCACTAGTTTAAACAAAGAAATTAAACACTTAAATGTTGGATTGATACTCGCAAGAAGCAACACTCCGAACAGGTCTCTTCATAACATTTAACTTCATTTGTAAGAATTATACAACAATAATTAAATTTTAGATGTAGCACGTCTTCTGATTGTCTGAAAGTTTTTTGTCAATCAGCTCATATACATAATTTTGTCATATGACGGTGACGTCATCAAAATCTTTTCATGATTTACTCCTTAAAATGGAATTTTGAGGTAAATCATAAGGAATGTTTTTTTCTGTCTATTTGAAATAACCTCAAAAATATGGTAAACACTTTTAAATAAGCCGCTACGCGGGTTATGCAGTTTGCACCACATTTTTGAGGCAAAAATAAATATTACAGTCATTCCATAAATGTATACAATGTCAAAATTCATCACATAAGTTGTCAAAGTGACTGAAAGTAAGTTCACATAGCTCAATCTCCTGTATTTGATCATGTTGGGGGAGGGAACTGTAGTTTATGGGATATTTTGTAGCAACTTCATAAGCACTATCTTGTTTAGTGCCCCCAGACAAACTGTAGCAAATTTCAAAGCAAAAAAACAAAAAAATCATTTTTTATTTATTATTATTATTTATTATTTTGCTTACTATTATAAATCAGTGAATTGATGTTCACACAAAAGATATATCAGACGCAATGATTAACGAACAATAGCATTAATATGACTTTTATCCATAAGCCTTTTCAGCAAAACAAAATAAGATTTGAAAGACAATATCTGAACGTGTTCGTTTCATAAATAGTAATCCTTAAAAAGATTGGTGTGAAATATCACTAATATGAAAAATTCTAAAAAAAGAACTAATATTTTCACAATAAATCTCTATATTTGTGTTACAATTTTGAGTAAATTATGACGAAAATTGAATAAACTAAAAACAGTGATCGTTTCCGTTTCGTTTCCTTTACTCCATTAGTGTAGAGTAGTAAATATATATATAAATATAGCACAAACAACATTTTCAAAAAGACCAAAAAAGTAAAAAAGTATAGTTAAACAAAACGCATTTGACTAGCAGGTCGAACAACGGATGTTCTTAAACCCTACTGACTACCATTGGCGATTGCCAAATAAACGGATCACCAGATGTAACAAAATGGATCTTATCTATTAATTTAATACCAAACAGAAAACAATAAACTTGCGGAAAAAATGGTAAACCGTAAACAGAAGGTGCACAAATTAGTGCACCATATCCGGATTTCGACAATTAATGTCTCTCCAGTGATGAGTGATGTTAGGAATCGGAACGGTATTTGGAAGGCCATATAATTTACCTCAATTTAGGATAGACTCTTGAATTTTGAAAGAGTCGTAATAGGATGAACGGGTCATATAAACCCGTAGGCAAATATGATACAAGCCCAAACGAAAAAATATATAAACAAGTCTTAATTGAAAACAACGTTCAAACCTATGATTGCTTTGGATAAACACCTCAATTGTTGTACGTGTGCATGCAAAAGAAATTCCTTGGCAGAGGGGTCTAAATACAGCACGAACAACATTTTCCAAAAGACCAAAAAAGTGAAAAAGTATATTTTTAACAAAACGCATTTGACTAACAGGTCGAACAACGGATGTGCTTAAACCCTGCTGACTGCCATTGGCGATTGCCAAATTAATGGATCACCAGATGTAACAAAATGGATCTAAACTATTAATTTAATATTAAACAGAAAACAATGAACTTGCGGAAAAGATGGTATACCGCAAACAAAAGGTGAAAAAATTTGTACACCATTTCCGGATTTCGACAATTAATGTCTCTTCAGTGATGATTGGAATCGAAACGGTATTTGGAAGGCCATATAATTTACCTCAATTTAGGATAGACTCTTGAATTTTTAAGAGTCGTAATAGGATGAACGGATCATATAAACCCGAAGGCAAATATATTACAAGCCCAAATGAAAAAATATAAACAAGTCTAAATTGAAAATAACGTTCAAACCTATGATTGCTTTGGATAAAAACCGCAATTTTTATACGTGTGCATGCAAAACAAATTTATTGGTAGAGGGGTCTAAATACAGCACAAACAACATTTAAATCCAGGCGAGGGAAAAACAAAAAATGGCTTTCGCAAATTTGCAGATTTAACATTGTTGTGCTGATATTTGGGGTAATTATGAATATAATATGTGTTTTCAGCCGTGTATCACCTTTACTGGTGGTCCATTGGATGGATCTCTCGTAGAGTTGTCACTTGTTTACACGTACTTATATATTGAAATGTTATAGATTTTCTATATATATATATATATATATTTGTAGTCACAACCTAATAATCTGTACTATTCTGAAAAACAACCTTGAAGCAAACTATTTAAAATCTCAAATATTTTCCCTGAGAGTGATGGCTTGGTAAATGCGAACAAATTGGCTTCATCTACGCATAGATTGCTTCTTATAGACAAAAGATGTCCTAAGTTGTATCTTTTATTTGCATTTGAAAGGAAAACAAATGACTTCAACAATTCCAAAGTCTAGATAAAGAAGAAGGGAAGCAATTTGTTATCATATAGCGTATAGTTGTAAAAATAAATTGTTTAGTTTCAGTGCATTTTACATAAATAAAAGTACCTTCTTTAATAACTATTGTGCAAAAGAACTCTGTCGTAAATGAACGCATCATTGACGCAGATGTTAACGCACGTATGCGTAAGAAAAAGAACACCTGTTTGACCGGTGAAAAATATACTATTCAACTATAATGTTGCTGACTTTATGTCAGGGTAAACATCTAATACAATTCGCTTAAAATTTACAAGTTAACATACGATTAATGAATTGTAAAACAGTGATTAATAACGCCACGTGTGGAGCCGGATCTGCTCTCCTTCATGAGGACCTGAGATCAACCTCAGTTTTTATTGGGGTTCTTGTTGCTCAGTCGTTGATTTTCTTATATGGTGTTTTATAGACTGATGTTTATCTTCACGTAATTGTTCGGTTTTTTATTAGGATTCTGTCAGTCTCTAGAGAGTCTTGATTTTCCCTTTGGTAGATTCTGCCTCTCTTTAAAAACAGTTATAACTAGATTTGTAATTGCGAGCAATAACATATTACACCCTCGTCCCCCAATTGCGAGAGTAACGAAAATTCAAAAGTCAAACAGCGCACATGCCATTTAAGATTTTTGTAACAAGTTTTAAGCATTTTGAAATTTTGGACATTTTTGCTGTTTGCATGGTAATGGCGGTTATTTTGGAAAATTCAGAAGTCAAATGGAAAGTCTACACATGCCAATTAACATTTGTGTAAAGTTTCAGTAAGTATATAAGTATATAAGCGGGACAAAAAAGTGGAAGACAAATAAAAATAACTAGAATTGTCATTGCGAGCAAAAGCAGATGTCACCCTGGTCCGCCAATTGCCTCTAAACGGCAGACATTTTGAATTTTTTTAACATTGAACGCACAAATATGCATCTCAATAGATCTATGCTTTTTTTTCAAATTTTCAGAAAGTTTAAAGCATTTTAAAAATTTTCTCATTTGTACTGTTTCCATGGCAACGGCGGTCATTTTGAAAAATTCCAAAGAGGGATAGCATATTTTCACTTGTCAAGGAACATTTTCACAAAGTTTCATTCAATTTGGAAGACATTCCGATTTTTCACATTCTTTCTGTTTCCATGACAACGGCGCCCATCTTGGAAATGCCAACTTCCGATTGCACAACTGAATATGGGGGTTAACATTATTGATAAGTTCCATTATGTTTGGTCCATACATTCCCGAGAAATAGTCTGGACAAAAAAGTGTGGAATAATAATATTAATAAAAATAAAAAGTATATATAAAAAAAAGAATGGAACAATAACAATATATCACCCGACCTCCGTCAGGGTGACATTAAAACTAGAATTGGCATTGCAAGCTATAGCAGCCATTTCAGAAATTTTAAACAGTGAATGCACATATATGCATGGCTATACATCTTTCTCAAAATTTTCAGAATATTTTGAGCATTTTGAAATTTTTACACAAATTTTTGAAGTTTCCATGGCAACGGCGACCATTTTGGAAATTCCAAAGTCAAAAGTCTCATTTATACTTGCCGGTTAACATTCATATTAAGTTTCATTAAGTTTGGAGCATTTTTTATGTTTCCATAGTTACGGTGACCATTTCCAAAATTTTAATAGCAGATGATGCCACATTGGTACATAAAAGGGATCATACCATTAAAGTTTCACTGGGTTTGACCTACCATTTCAATAGAGGAAATGCTACTGAAAGGATTTTAGAAATGTTTTTAGAGCATTTTTAGAGCATTTTGACCTTTTTTTCATTGTTTCCATAGTAACGGCAGCAATTTTAAAAATTCCAAAGCCAAATGCCACATCTAGTATTGTGTGATGGTTGATTCCTATATTTTTTCTTCCCAAAAGGATTAGGCGATATAGATTATTGGAGTAAAAACATTCAGACAATTGGGTCGTTTACAGTTTCTGTTGTAAATGAAAATTGAGTTAGCTCATTGTGTGATCTTACTAGTATGCCAGTAATAGCTGTTAAGGAAGTTTTTTTACATTGCATTCTTAGTATTTGTATGAGTTATTTTTCTTTACCTAGAACAATTAACTAGTAAATTGATGTGTTTTTTTTTTTGTTTTTTGTTTTTTGTTTTTCTAAAAGGTTAGTCTATAAGAATTCTGAAAGAATATATAAACAGGACAGCATAAATTATAACAATACTAGACTACAACAGACCATACTGGTAGACCAAACGTCATAAAAGTAAAAAAAAAATCCTGAAAAATTTAAACTGCCCTTGCAGATACAGGAGAGACTGGGTGGACTTTGCAAAAATGAGAATAATGGGCAAAAATTAAGAAAAATGAAACAAAAAATAAAGGCTGGAGAGAAAAGGACAAACAAATGAGGAATATAGAATACTGGTGTGCTATAATATAAATAGGTTCGATTGTTGGTTGCTTGCTTAACGTCCAGTGGTAGATATTTCATGCATGTTCAGGACGAAAAGAAATTAACAATAAATACAATAGGGAGGTCATGTAATAGAGGCCGTAGGGAATACAGGTCGTATAAATTATGACTGCCACTAGAAAATGAGGGTAAATTGGATAGGAGAAGAAATTTAGCCTTACAACATGCCACCTGCGGACCCCTCACTTAGACTGCAGATAGCGTGGCACTCTCTCTACACGAGGAATCGAATTTAACATCCCCATTCTGACCTGACGTGGCTGCGTACTTCCTTAACATCCCTTAAAAAAAGAGCTGACGCCACTTTCGCAAGGGTTTTACTGCCGGTCGGAAGAAGACCAAGAGTGACCATATGTTTATTCCCCAGTCACCATTAGGGGTATAAAAAGTAGAAATAATGGTGTGTTATAATATAAAGAATATAGAATTATGGCGTCTATGATTATAAAGAATAGAGAATAGTGGTGTGCTATGATATGAAAAAAGAATAGAGAATAATGGTGTGCTTTAATATAAGGAATGGAGAATAATTGAGTTCTATAATACAAAGAATAGAATATTTCACGTTCTATAGTGGAAAAGTTGGACTGATCATACCTGTGGATTTATCAATTCAGTTTTTTGTTCTTCAAAAAAATGTACATGTACAAAATTGATAAGTCAAAAATAGCAATAAATTTTATCAGGTAGGCTCGGGACAAAACCAAATGTAATTAGACTTGTATAAATTTGTAGAACAGCAAAACCCACGTCATCTTTTAAGAAGTATTATGTTATTTATATATGCTTAAGTTACTTTCGATCCTCTTTTGGTTTTATCATCTCTTTTACGTTTATATAAGTTTTAAGACTTTTGAATATATCGGCCTCAGGCATAACTAAATAGACATTGATTATTGTCAAAATGCACATCTGGTGTAGTTAAAATGAAACACTTGATGTTACCATAAACTGAAAACTTACAGTAAATAATAAAAATAAAATATGCGGACATTTAAATCAAATCGTATTATGCTAGAAATCTTCAGTCTGTTAATTTCATACAGTAAAGATATTTTTCCATTTTGCCAATGTTTTTTAAAATCCAATCTTAAATGCTGTTACAAAATTTAAGAAATTATTTTAAATTAAGGAAAATATCTCCTTCATGCCAAAACCTCTGATTCCTTGCCCGGCTTTGGCTAAACTTGTTTGTCCTTTTTGGATTATAGCTCTTCATCATTTTAATAAGCTTTGAATTTTCAAATATTTAGACCTCGAGCATCACTGAAGAGACATTTATTGTCCAAATGCGCATCTGGTGCAGAAAAATTGGTACCGTTAATGTTATTAAACTTTCGTAGAAAAGATAGACGTAAACATTTTATAATTAATACATATTTGTTCAAATAAGTTTTTCAAATAAACATAATTATTTACATTTCAATTGTAATGCGATTAAATAACACGATCTTTAAAGTATTGCTTTTATATTATTAATATCTTCAAATTCCTCTTAAATATCTTGTTTAGATTTAGAATTTATAAATCTTATAGATTAAACAAACATTTATTTTGTCCGTCTGAATGTTTCTGAATAGGATTTGTATTTGCTATATTTAGTTAATTCAAAAAAAAGACATTCATACTTACCAAGAACTGTATAAGTAGGCAAGTTATTAAGTGACTACTTCGCCGTAAATGATAACTTGTATCTAAATATATTTCAGTTCCACTTTATTTTGAGAAGGACAGATCCAGTGTGATTATTTTGTTTATGAGTTATGGTATTTATACCTAGCTTGTTTTTTGAGAAACATTTCTTAAGAAAGCAAAACAAAAATTGATCAATCAAATTTGATGGAAAGAGTCGTGTTATTTGTCACCGCCTTAATCGATAAAGTATTTAAGTAGGTGTTATGTAATTTCTCAGCTGGAAATCAATAAACAACATATTCATATTGATATGTTTTTAATTAAGGGTATACAAATCATACAATGTATTGAAGCTGATACATGTTGTTTAGATTTAAAGTAAAATATCTTAACAAATTAGAGGCCCTAGTAGTTAAACGTGAAAGGTACAGTATAAATTATTTTACAGACACTTTTGCTCGCTCTTTTTTATATACCTCGAACAAATAGTGTCATTTCACCCAACTCCATTGTATCGACAAAACTGTACTCCATTCATGTAACCTTCAATTAGGTTTATTCTTTCCAGTAAAATTTTAATGTCTATAAATCGATAAATTGCCTCCTTTACACATTTAGGCAATCACAATGTGTTTCTATATTGATGCATATTCCTTTGTAAATTTTCAACCACAAGGTGCAATTACCAGAAATTTGTAAGATACCTAGCAAACTTAAAACAAATACAACAATTATCTTTTATATTAAATGAGAAACGAACACTTTTATACTCACCCGGCAAATAATTTTACATTTTTGGGAAAATATGGAAATTACATAAACAGTCTATTTTTCACAATCAAACGAAAACATTTTATTGCTTGCCAAACAGGAAGATATTTAGGACTTTTTCATCACACGAGCATTGTTCGAAATTCCTTAATGAAGAATTTTCCTTTCGAAACTATTGCAGACTATTAAGCGTTTTCTTTCCCAAGTATACAATAACATTTCTCACTTTATGATTTTTAGATTTAATTGTTGTAAAAGATCAACGGACATATGAAAAATTTCTATATAAACTAAAAATCAAGTTAGCATTCTATATGTATTGGAACTACGGAAAAGTTATGACCGAAATGATTTAATTTCCTATATGGCGGATATACTCGAAAGTCATGGGTACAAAAACTTATTTTTTGACGGTATTGTTTGAAATGAACTTTATAACTTACATTTATATACCTATTCTTGTTTGTTTAATGGAAGACATTACTTAGTTACTTGAAATAGACTTGAAATGCTTAATTGAACGTGTTTGCTGTAATTATATTGCATTTTGTGCTTACTTTTATATATAGAAAATGTCGAAACCCTCTGATTTAACTTTGGTTTAAACTAAAGTGGTTATTTAAATTAAATATAAAAAAAACATTCAAAGAAGAAACCACCATTTTCAAACAAAAAAGAAACATTTTATAAACTGTATTATTTATTCAGGTAAAATCTTTGAAATAGTATCGGGTGGTAAAATTGACGAATGGCTTAATGTTATGCAAAAACTGCTTAACAGTCTTAAAATTAATATCTTTAAATTACACAAAAATTGTTGTTCAATTACTCAAATAAGAAATTGAATTTGATAAACTTATTGATCATGAGTAGTTAGTATTAATAATGACTAGTATAATGTAGTAATTCATTTCTTAGTAATTAGTGGAAATTTTATGTAAACCATTTCATCAATTTAGAGTAATCAATACTAGTATTTCCAAGTACTTCGTATACATTGTAAAAGTAATTATTAGTAATATCTGGAGTCATTTCATGTAATCCTGTTTGGTTATTTACAGTGAATGTAAGTAATGTTTAAATATTAATTATAAGTAATAACAAGTATTTTTTATAAGTATTCCTAAGTAATACGTAGCAATAATCCTAATAAATTTAATTAGTTCAAAGTAATCATAGTCCAAGCATAAATTATGATATTTCAAAGTAATGATATATAATATAGATAGAGGAAAGGCAATAGTAATACACCGCTGTTCAATAGTTCAATATATAATATAGCCTATTCATGTTTTATTGACACTGTGAAAGGATATTGGCTGAATAAGCAGTCCGAACTCAATATACTCATTAGGACATATCTGACTAGCCACGAGATTTCGAGGCTTATGGTGTCACCTGGTCTGAAATGGGCTTATATCATATTTACTTAGTACATACGGAAAGACAACAAGTTATTTTGATAGATTTGTTGAAATAACTGTGTAATGGGTCGTTTTAAATGTCGACATATGGAGTATTGATTCTACTGTTTATGCTATAATAATAGCTCAATCCATCTAAGGCCAAGTTTGAATAAGGCAGTCGAAACCTTAGTTTCTTGATAATTTCTAAATTATTTAATGTACATTTTAAGACAGCTTTGTTATAGACCATATCAGTACCGAAGGACTGACTACTGAGCTGATGATACCCTACATGTACTAAGCATAGCTCTTTGGTTTTTTTTTTAAGAAAATGTTATTTAAATTTGCAATGAAATTAATTAAAAATTTGTCTGAAAGACAGCTTGTGGTATGTTTTTTTTTATTTTCGTTTAAGCTTGACAGTTTGTCAGTTAAATGATGCATGTTTCTACCAAACATAGCATGTGAAGCGTAACAGTTTTAGAAATAATTTCCAAAATAACTTTTCAAATTTGTATTCCATACGATGAATTTATTATAATAATGCGGTTTAACTTAATCGCACTATGAAAACTCTATATAACAGATCATATTGAATTTTAAACACATTGAAAACTTGTTAATCCATTTATGCAATTTAACTAATTTCAACTTCAAACAAAAAAGTTACAATTCTATATACCTTCTTCACAAATACTTTGAAACGATAACTAAACACCGTTTAAATAAATCTAGAGAGAATTAAAGGAATTATCTGAAAACAATCTTAAATTTAATTTTTTTTTTATATACTTTCAATATATATATATTATTTATGAAGTAAATTATATTTTGAATCTACCGTGCTAACATATTTTAAGACTTCCTTGGACTTGTCTAATATTGCTTCCGTTTACTTATATATGGAAATTTGCAGGATTGGACTCCGAATAATACATTCCAAATGCTCTTTAACTTCGTTCTTTGTTTGGCCTTTTTATTTAATTTTTGTTCGAGCGTCACAGATGAGCCTTTTCGTACACGAAACTCGCGTCTAGCCTACAAAATTTTAATCCTGGTATTTATGATGAGTTTATTCACATATTTTCACGTCTTATAACTTACATTAACCGACTGGACCTGACATAGACAAAATTGCATCTTCTTTTTTAAATAAACTTACTGATCCTTTTAAAGATACTTACATTCGTATGGAAACCAAATTAAATTACACATATAAGTAGGCAAAAGCGTTGAAAAGTATGGATAATGATAGACAGTCGACAACCACTAAACTACAGACTCCTGACTTGGTACAGGCATTTAAAGAATGTAGCGGGGTTAACCATGTTTGTGAGCGCTCAACCCTCCTCCTCCTAACCTGGGATAGACTATAAAAATCAGTTGAAAAGAACTTAAATGAACGTAAATGCAATGTATGTGTGTCCCTACTTTCCTGTTGCCTTTAAACCTCTGAAACATATCTCATCTTAACTCAGTCTATTGCTATTGCAACTTGCTACTTATATCGTAAATGTGCAAATTAAAGGATTGCTCCTTTTCATTTAGGTCACATTATTCAAGTGAACAGGGTATAAATAAGATATACAATATCAACCTTTGACATTTGCCGAAATTAGATACTTGGCTTTCTTTTTATGTCTCATAAGGTTGTTCTATTGTTATCAATGTTCTGCAGTTGCTTCTTTTAAGTATATATTTGTTTTTGAAACTACAGGTAACGACTATCTGGATTTGTTCACCAAACATAAGACGTACCAGCTGCGAGTAGATCTCGAAAATGTCCATGGAAATACAGGTTATGCAATTTACAACATGTTTTGTGTGGCACAAGAGGAGGCTAGATACCAACTTACCATTGGAGACTACACTGGCACAGTATGTATGTTTTTCATTAATTTTACAGGTTTTAACAAACTCTATGTTTTACTGTATTTTAAAGTAGTTGTACACATTTCATTGTGCCGAAATATACTTTTACACTATTTTATTTTAAAATGTTTGAAATGATATTTTTTGTTTATTTGGATTAAAAGAGAGGCGAAAGATACCAAAGGGACATTCAAACTCATAAATCGAAAATATACTGACAACGCCATGGCTAAAAAGGAAAATGACAAACAGACAACACGAATCCACCAAAAACTGTGGGTGATCTCAAGTGCTCCGGAAGAGTAAGCAGATCCTGCTCCACATAGGGCACCCTTCGTGTTGCTCATGTTAGTTCAAACCCGGTGATACGTTTAATTCGGAAGGTAACATTCGTGGAAAAAGGGACGGGGTTGTAGGTACGACAATTGGAACATATCCGGTATCATCTGTGAAAAAGATATTATATAACGGTCAACCAACACGTGATGGCGTCCGTAAAATTTACGAAGGGATAAAACCATTAATTAAAATGATATGCACTTTGTTGTATCGCATGATGCGACACAATATATTTTTCAAAAGAGAATCATATTGAAATGTGAAACCTTCCATTAGCGGTCTAACAGTTTTCCACCATTTATCTTTATTATTTTTTCCTTGTCTTATGTGAAATGTGTTTCGTCAATGCAAATTTTCAGTACTTACTTAAACTGCGAGCAAGCAGATAAAGGTACCCCTGCCCCACAATCCAATACATTTATTTTTCCCCTTTTAACATGTTATCCAGGGATTATATTCCTTTATGTATAGCCTCATATAGGATTCTGCAACTGTGTAAAGGTTTCATTAATAAAAGTTATAGCTCTTCGCGTGTAATTATACATCTGTTTTAGGTAAAAACGTTTATGATAAAGGTTTAAAACAAAAAAGCGTTGAGGAGTAAAACCGCGCATGGACAAACAGACAGTCGGACAGACAGATAAACAGGACTGTCAATATGATATCTTTATACCCAATACTTTGTCTACGGAGGATATAATTAAATGCATGTAACTCTTTCAAAA